TGAACACATGAGTCCTTAATTCTAAGTCTCAGTCACATTCACTTTGGTAAGGCTGTTTGTGGAGAAGTCAGGTATTGAATGCTCAGCAGGAGTTAATCTAACTCACTTCTAGCCCTCTGTAAGCTAAGTCTCTTGTCAAGCCTAAAGTTCTTCACAGTTAACAGAGAAACACTGGCATTTCTAGGGAACTATTCATGCAATCTCTGGCAGATGTCTACATTAGACTGGGAATTACACCCTGAAAATGCCTGTTTTTGTAACCAACTGTGGAGTCCATACTACTAAGTCCATAGTACTAATCCTGTAGCTGCAGTTCTTTGTTACGGTGTACCTCAGTACTCGCTGGTGTCCAGAATGGGATCTGTTGAAGTGTCTTGCAGGTATTTTCCTATTTTCTACAGTGACTCAGCATCTGTAATAGGTGAGTGGTAATAGGTGAGCCACGCATTTTGCCCTAATGTGGAGCTGCAAGGCTGCTAGGGTCTACACCCAGACCTGGGATCCAGAAGTGCTGCTGAGTCTGCTCACAGATGCATAGTCTCAGAGTTGTCCTCTATTGATAATGGATAAAATTTTGATAAGATGAATCCTTGCCTTCTGCCTTCCCCAGTATTATTAATCGTCTTGGCTTTCCCATCAGTGAGTATCTGTCACTAGCTGCTCAAGATCTGCTGTTTACATTCAGCTCTGCATTACAGACGCATCCTGTATTTCTATTGCAACAAACTAGACTGATACATTGATATGATTGAAGGATGGGAGCTAAAAGTAGGAAGAAAATATGGGAAATCTTTCCTAATGCAAAATGTTTGGTTTTAACTAAAGAAGGTTCACAAAAGTGTCACAATTGGTAATGAAGATAAGCCTTTTTATTCCTTGTATTTTACCTCCTCTTTAACCACTAGTAATACACATAAAAGTCCATAAAGTGCCAATTTCTGTCTGTTACAAGGAAAAATGAATGAGATGTTTGGCTTGGGAAATCAGTTTCAGTCTGCTGTAACCTACTATTTGTTCTTAATGGAGGCCGGGACCGCACATGCCTGTTATGAGTTCACAATATATCTGTGTGTTGCAGTCTAACAGAACAAAAGTGTCTCCAAAGGCTGGAGAAAGCTAATTGCCAGTAAAGCATAAAACTTACTTTTCTTTGGAGAGTGAGAATCACCATTTGCAATCGATTCAGAAATTACCAAAGTTTTAATTTCTCTGTTGGCATCCACACTTTTGCAAAACTAACTTTGTCGCTGGAAAGACATTTTATGTTCTGTAGTCTCTTGCACAAAAAGGACTCTTTAATTCTCTAGTGTCAAGTGAACTGGCGATATATTACAGATCCATTTTTTATGGGAACTTATAATTTGTTGGTTGTACTCATCTTAACAATGCAAGAATTTATCACAGTGGAACACTTTCCAGGCATGCAGTCAGTCAATGTTGTTACAGTCATATTACTTGGAAGCATCTAAATTAGCATGGTTTATGCACTGCAAGTGGGGACACAAGCCCTGCTACAAATTTTTAAACCATATTTTTTTTTCTAATATTATATGAAAATGCTAAAGTGCAGACGATGTTTATAAAGTCACTACTTTTCTTTATCATTAACAAGAACATTAGGAATTCACTTTCCTTCTGCACAGATTCATGCAAAGACATGTGAAATGAAATCTGATCTATCTTTCAGCTGAAACAGTAGTGCGAATATATTTCCTGCTTAGGTTCATCTTCCAGAGGCTGGTAATATAAACTTTCTGTAAATTGGAAAAAAAACCCCTAGTCTTTATTGAGCAGAAGCTAAAACATCAAGTGAAAGGAAGTAGATTTTAATCCAGATTTACAAGGCAGAATTATTCCCATTAAATAAAAGTTATGCAGCCTTCAAATTAGTTATTTTTGTTCAAGCCATCCTTCTAGGTACCAGATGATACCATGACAATGAGTATGATTAGCAGTATTATAGGAACTATCAATATATTTTACAGACCCAAATCTCCCCTATGCACATCTGATTAATAGAGCCTAACTCCAACACCCAGCATTACATTTAGACATCTGTAGATTGGATGTCTGAGCTAATCATCCAAATTTTATTCATACTTAGTGGGAAAAAAGGGCTAACTCAGATTCTTGTCTTCTCTAAGTGAGTATCATAAGCAAGGTCTGGAGGTGCTGATCTCCATTGATTAGTAAAGAAATGAGGTAATAGCTCAGACTTTGATAGCAACACTAGAAACATTGAAAGCTAGGGCAAATAAATCCCACTTCATGTTCATATGGTTTGACAGGGCACAGATGTGCAGATTTTAGCCTAGATATCCTGCTTCTCTTTATGCCAGCAGCTAAGCTCAGGAATCACAAAATTTCTCAATGTACAACAACTGAAGCCCCATGACTATGCCATTTCTTCATCTTACTTCTTGCAGACAAGTCTAGTAATCAGGAGTGGATTCTGTCTATGTTTTGTATTCCCCATCTCTCTAACAGGGATACATATACCATGCACACCCCTAAGACCTTCCTGGAAATGAGGTGATGACTCTCAGTGGGTCTTCACACTCATCAGGTAAAGGAAGTTCAACTAGTTCTAACAGGTAAGTTTTAGAAGATGTTCAAGCAGGCACTGTGTTCCTTGAGACAAGCACCACATCACTCTTCAGGCAAGGCAGAAACTACATGGCAATCAAGATAGTGCATTTTTTTTGACAACTAATTGAGGTAGAGATCTGAAGCAACCACTGTAATAAAGCTCTTTCTTAGTAACCACCTCACGCACATTAGGAATGCAATGCATCAGATACAGCAGCATGCACAATCATTCAGCTGGGAGATGGAATAATATCACCATTTTTAAAAACAGGACTCTGCCAGGTCTCCCAGGAGGGTTCTGACAGCCAGCATCATTCATCCACCTTTGCCACCTGAAACTGGTATTAACCATGAGGGAAAAAGTGATTCCACAGACTTAACTTACTCAGATATTGCTGTGACACAGAAACAGAGACTAAACAAAACTTGATACTAAGCAAACGCTTATTTTTGGAGAACCAAACAAATCCTAACTCTGACACCAAATGACCACAGTGAATGTTGCAAAACATATTTATTCATTGAGAGTATTGCATCCAAACAGCTGATAAGAAACGGGACTCTGCCGAAACATGCAAAACATAGAGCTGGAGGAGCTGTACATTTTGTTTTAGAGGAGTCACCTGCTGATTAACATCACACATCCAAAAGTACAGTGTCTAAGGATTGTGGGGGCATAGCCTGCGGGAAGCCAGTGGGCTCCTAAAACACCTATGTGAGCTTGTCATCATCATTCTTAAGACTGTGACCCAAACCTCCTGAGTTATGATGTATTTTAAAGGCTTATTGTTTGCATCTTTCCCTATGGACTCTGGACACAGAAGGTATTTGGAAAATTAATCTCAGGATTTTAAACTGTCTAAGATTTATACCCACTGGATTTCATTCTAGGGTCTCTTGAGAAAAAAATGTTGAGGATAAACATCCTATCTCAGGAAAATTATCTTATCACTGCATATATTTAACAGTTCTAGATTTTGGACTAAATGGATTCTAACAACTGAAACAAAAATTCTACTTTCAGAAATGCCCCAGAGGATTCCCTGGGCAATTCAGATCAGTGTCTGAATACTTTCCTGTTACTTTTAGTCTTCTATAACTAAAATACAAAGCAGATTGTATTTTTTTAAATCATATTTTCACATAGTTTTGGAGCACTGGGAAGGAATTCTTCACAACAGATTTGTTAGGTTACTATCACATTTTTATTATGACAAAAGTCATTACACAATGGAATAAAAAAATTAAAAAAATGACTGAATGGACACTTAAAGTACATCCCACTTTATTCCTAAAAAAGATGGCTCAGGGCATTTTCCTTATGGAAATTGAGACTTTATTTACTGTCACTTTAAAGAAAGCAGGAGGGACTCTAAAACAACATTTCCCTACATAATGTGACATGTTATATTCTCCTCCCCAGGATAAAGCGCATGAAAGGTGTTTTTTTCAGGCTGGGTGCATGTTATCTATGCAGCCACTATACTGTACTTGAATGTAAATCACTTGCAAAATGCCACAGCCAATTTCTCAGTCACCTTTCTCCATAGTATGCATGTACATTATGTATTATATGGTTAATAGTGCATCAGCTCCCTTGTGGAAAATCAAGAAAGCTTCCATGATCTCCTGAAAGAAAACTTGGAATTATTTTGTACGTGTCCAGCTAGGTTGGGCTGCAGTATGATCTCGGGAGAAATTCCAGCTGAATTAAGACAGCACTGTGCTGTACAGTGATGCGGTAGATACTTGAGGCAGTATGGCTGTATCAGCATGGTGCTCTCTGTAGGCTAATTAGTCCTGCTACGGAGTTGGACTGTTAAGTCCAAGCTAATGCATATCTGTGTGGTGCTGCGTTCCTGCCTTTCCCTTGGGCTGTGCTGAATGAACCCTGCTGAGGAAGGTTTTCTGTCCAAAACCAGGGACCTCTAACAGGCACAAAAACATATGAAGCTGTAAAGCTTAAGGGTATTGGACAGCAGACAGGGACAATTCTAGGGAGAGAGCGAGCCCAGGAAGGCCTGGGAGCTCATTTCCATTGCTCCAGGCACAGGACTCAGAGCTGAATGTCACTGCAGTGTCTGCTTTGCTGCACACGCATTTGTGGGGTCTGAGACTGTGGGGATGCTTACGTCAGTTTTTAGTTCACTGAGGGAATACATACACTCCTTTCTGGGGTGCGGCATCATCCTTTAGGTGAGAAAAAAAATGCTGGAAGGCATCAGCTCTGGGCACTGGGCAGAATGAAATCAGCCACAATGCAAAATTACAGAAAGAACTGCTAGCATTTTAGCCTAAAAGACACACACACAAAGTAAAGATGGTGAAGATGAAACTTAAACAAGTGTTTTGTACAGCATTGTACAAAGACAAATGGGTATGAAGTGAAGAATAAGAATACCAAAGCTTACACCATGTTGCATTGTCCTCCAGATAGTCCTCTGGGAAGCAAGAGGGAAACAGAATCAGGGAACAGAAAAACAAAACAAAACAAAACAAAATAAACCACAGGTTATACCAAACAGGCAACCACAGAGAAGGTAACGAATCTTTATAAGCAGTTGATTTTAAATGAGAAACTTTACATCATGCTCTACAGAAGCAGGTGAGCTCAGTGGTTAAAATTATTTAATTTTTGACAGTTTTTTAATTTACTTATATTCAGGTGTCCTTGCTAGATGCCTAGACTAAGGTTGTCACTTTGTAGTAGGGGGACATGGAAAGATTTTTCTGAGCTGTTCAAATGTATACTTTAAGATGAGATAAATTGTTCTTTAGAAATATTTGATTCAATTCAGTTGCCTAAACCCATGCTTAGGAAACTGAAAGGCGGCCTTTATTTTTCTATGTTAACAGTAAAAAATACTGTAAATACAGTAAAAAATAGCCATCCAGACTCAAATCTAGACAGCTGGTTATAGGTATCTGCACTATGGATCTCTCTACTGATTCAGAAAAGTCCTCATTTTTGCTTCTGTTACAGTCACTAGAGAAATAGGGTGGAATACAGTTATCTAAATATAGGCAAAGCAAGTGGATTTAGTAGCTCTGAGATATTCCATCTTACTTTCAGCCAGGTCTCCTGTGACTTCGCTTTCACCTTTGGACATCTTAAAGACCACGGCATCTCAAAGAGCATTGGGTGACTATATTTATGTAGCTGAATTTCACCCAGTGGAACCTGCAGAGAACAGCTGAGGCTCAGTTCTGTTTTCCCACTTGGATGCCACATAGTGGACATCCTCTAGGGTGTTCTATCCAGACTTCAGCTGCCAGTTCAGAAGGGCATAAGCAACCCAAATTACTGTCCTATCTACCAGCTCAATTAGATGTCTGGTAAACTCCAAGGCATTTCAGTCTTGTTTATCTACATGTGGGTATCGCAATCAAGCCTTTTTTTTACCCAGTCTTTTCCCAGTCTGAGAGAAGTGTCTGTGACATGTGGGGTGAATCACTCCCCAGAAATGCATGTCTCCTACACTGACTTCAGAGAGAGCCTGACTTTTAGGCCCAGTACTGTGAAGATGTGATTGAAATGCCTTAGCATAAGTAACTTGAATTGCTTGAGCTGCTGTAGTGTATTCTAGCCAGCTCTCCACTGCTGCTCCAGAAATATACTGGTCTCTTCTAGTTCTTTGTGCCATATCTGCTGGTCCCATATTTCAGATACCCTGAGATGTCTCAGATGATGCTTTACATCCATGCTTCAATAAGTCTCTCAAGCTCTACATAACTTCCTGAATACATCTGATGCTTTTGAAACCACAGCTTTTGGGGTATATTTAATTTTTTTGCATATTTCTTATGATTTATTGTGATCTACTTATTTGTTAAGCCTTACTTGTTACAGCTATGACAATATCACAGGGAAACCACTTTCCCTCATTTTGGAACAGAAGAGCTGGATTAGTCATATAATTCAGGCAAGGATGAAGGAACACTTTCTCAGATGGGTTCAGTACTGGGTGATTTCAGTGCAGGGTTCTTATCAGGGCTGCTTTGTGCAAAATACCTGATAAAATATGCTCAACTGAATTAAGCTTAGAAATGGGGCTATGAACAGGAGAAAAAAAATTTGAATTAAGTTTAGAAATGGGGCTATGAACAGGAGACAAAAAAATTGGTTTAGATGTGCTATATTTTTGTATAAGATTGAGATGCAGAGGAAGTATTTTCTAAACTTGGTTTCTTCTCCTGTCAAAGACAGATAAAAGCAGAATTGTTTGTCACTTCTTTTGAGGTTTATGTAACTTCATGTTTGGACTTTGCAGTGACAGTTTAGAGTTAAGTTGTCTGACAGTGTTTTATGAATACAAACTCCAGAATAGATTTCTAAAAGCATTAACATAACACTGAACAGTCAGCTGACTTGCAAGAAAATACTTGTTTCTTATATCTGTGGTAAACAAAAGGATTTTTAACTGTTTGATACTACCATCAACATACCAATATTGCAGTATATTTATATTAAGTAAGCAATAGAAAATGATCAGTGTGTAGACAGGAAAACTGCTGTGAGTGGGGTTCTCCTTATGTCCTGTTAGCCATGCAAGGGTTAGGAGGATCTAAATGAAGCTGGTCCTCCAAGCTCTGGCTATAGTTAATGAAGAGATATGTCATTCAGGGAATGATTCAGCACATGAAATGCTAAGGTTCTTGTGTAGACAAGTTAAGTGGTGTTTCTGTGAGGCAGGAGTGTAGCATTTATATCCTTCTGGATAAAATTACCCAAGAAAGTGTGAGATGCAGGCAGTGACCTTTCCCAAGTGCTGCTAAGGGGTTACAGCTTGAAATAAGGCCTTCTGCTTTAATCCACATAAACAACCTTTCCCAGCTCCAGATGAGGTCAGTGGCCATCTCTGAATTGAGGGATTGTTGGTCTCAGCCCAGAAGGAGACAACACATTCATCACTGCCATTTGAAGATATATTTGAAACCAACACTCATCACTAACAGACCATAAATAGTTATTAATTTAAATACTGTCAGCAAGAACAGCAAAGAGGAAATTTGTGTGAACATATTAAAAAGTAACAGCAGCAATACTAAACTCTTTGGTTTTTTGTCTGAAATAATGCATGAACAAAACAAATTAAATCATACGGAGATAAGTTCCCTTTTCAAAATCTAGAAATTATCAGGAGTTATAAAGTTTATCTGTATTGACAATTATCTTTCACTGAATTATCTTTCATTAACTACAGTCTTTAAAGGCTGGCTGCTTTATTCAGGATGCTGCTCAGTATTTTGGAAGCTTGAATTTAAAAAAGAATATTAATGTGCTTAGAAGTATTCTTGTGTCAATATCTCGTGTCACTTAAACTGGCCTCTTTCATTGCAAAAATGCTCCAACTGTTCTTACAACATCATAGTAATTCAAACGGAACTGTGCTATCAGCCTTCCTTTGTATACTCTCTGTCCCATTTCAGCTGTTTGCAACCTTTAGCTTTGACAGAGCGTGACTGAAACCTAAAGGCTTTGGTGACTTTTCACTTCACCTTGGCCAATTCTAGATTAAGATCCAGGACTCTGCTATGAGCAATACAGAAGGACTCTGAAGGTTCTCTGAATACAAAGTGAAAGTATGAATTTGAGAGCCCATCAAATATGGATTGAGCATTGCCAGTCAGATTTTTAGCCTGAGATTTTACACTGGGCTATGAACCTGCTGTGGTAGAAAGCCCTAAGTTTGCAATGCAGGTAAGCATCTTTTCTGCTTCACCATTTAGGATAACCAGGCTATACTGTTTCCAGAAGAGCAGAGAACTAACAAATGCTGCTTTTTGCTGCTGGGTAATCCCATGCCTTTCCTGTTGAATTGCCATGAAGATTGACAAAATAGAGTAGACAGGATACAGCATAGATAGAAGTGGTTGGAAAGATTAGCACTGTGAAAGACTACTGTGATCATCAAATGAATTTGATGAATGGTGGTGTCCAGAAGATACCCAGATCCTCATCTGAATTAGTATATTTGGGTTCCTGCTCAATGATTTAAGTTGCATATCAGAGAAACCTTTAGACATTTTAGGCTCACGATCAGACAACAAGAAATTTTGGTGCCCTAGTGCAGTCAGCAGCTGCCTAGCAGCCACCAGGAGTGCAGCTCATCATATACCCATACCTGTTTCCACATGAGCCCTCTTTTCCCCTTACTCTTGCTGTAGCCCTAAGTGCTCCTCTCTTCAGCAAGGGAGACCAGTGCTGTGCAAGTGTGCAGCAATAAGCCGAGGACATGCAATACAGTATGTTTTAATTCAGAAGCTTTAAAACTCCTTGATTTTGCACATTGGTTTCACGAAGAGAGGAGTCCTGTGATGATATTAACAGCTATAGTAATTAGCCTTCTATCAATCTATAGATTTACAAATAGCAGGAACATTGAAGTCTTAAATGTGAATCCAATGACTGGTAGTAAAGAAAATAATCTTATATTAAAGTATTTTTTCCAAAATGATTGAATAAGTAAAGCAAAATTAAGGATCACTGAAGTTTTAGTTGATAAAAGTCGATTGTTGAGATGGATGGAAATAAAGCAGTGTTAATTTTATAATTAACTAAAAAAGTAAAACAAATTAATGTGCATTTGCAAGTGTATTAGTTCAAGAACTAAGTGATAAAAATGGCCTCAATATATAACAACTTGTTTTTAATATAAAATAAAAAATTTAAAATATTGCTGTAGATAATTTTTAAAAGAGAATTTATACTGCAAAGTACCTGCCATGGCTTATCTGTTTTTTGGCCTCCAGGAAAGAGCTTTTCCTCTTCTAACATTTCTAATACATAAAAACAGAGTCATATTATTCTCCTACAATGCAATTCTATACCATGTCCAATGGGGGAAAAAAGATTTACTGAATGCTGGAACAGCTGGCAAAGAAACAAGAGCACCTATGAAATTATTAAATTAGGAGATTGCAACCTTCTAGTATATTATTAAGCCTTTTCTACTAATTTGAAAATGGAATATATTTTGTCTTACCAGCCTATCCAAACTTGTGCCAGCAGCAGTTGTAGGTCGCTCCTCTGGGTTATATGGTCTAAACCGGGTATTGAAGTTTTCAGCAACAGATCGGGAAGATCTCAGAGCAGGTGCTGGTTTAGGTTGGCCACATCCTTGGAAAATCTGAGAAAGACATTTTTGGTTATATGACAATCATAAAAAAAAAGAAAGCTGGTATTTTGTAACCTCTTTATTCTTCGTTTTGTATATTTTAACCAGATTTGATTGACATTTTTATAATAGCAAATTGAGTGCTTAGCCTGCATTAAAACTCCATTTAAATAATTAAGCATTATTAATTACTTGGTGAAGGTATAAAAACACATAGGGACCTTCAAATCCCCTTAATTTAGGACAACATCTTAATTGCTGTCTTTCCTGGAAGAGAAATGAGTAAAAGGATGTTGTTCGTGGCAGGGCTTAATTGATAACTGTTTTCACTTTTGTTAAAATGTGGTATTTACCCAGAATCAGAGGTCATTCATAATCCCTACAGCTCTTCCTACCTTGTAATCTTATTTGTAGTCTTAGAGAAAAGGTCAGTGATGGAATAGTCTTATAACTGGATAACTCCCTTATTCCCTACCAATCTCTCCCTAGAGGAGGGCAATAGTGGTAATTATTTTCTGCTAGTGTGTTTGTTTTCTAGGTATAAAAAATAATAAGTTCAGGGTTATGAAATTTTTTATATATTTTCATTTGGAAAAAAGTTTCAGTATTATGTATCTGATGGGTACTAAAGTATACGGAGGACACTTTTGACTACTGGGTATCAAATATATTTCCCAAAGTCATTGTCATAAGAGCTATGCATCAGAAAAGAGGTAGAATATCCACAGAGTTAAAATTTTCAAGTGCTCTTATGGAGTAGGACCCTAGGATGCCTTCATACTGACTTTTTCAGTTCTACAATCATCTTTCTTTTTTTGTGACCATTGTATTTTGGCTGTTTCAGCATTTTGCCTTCATTCGGAAGAAAAAAAATTAAATGTCGAATTTTTTGTAAGATATATTTTTCAAAACCCTAATGCCAGGCACAGACTGCCTGGATGAGCTTTGTGGAGGTGAAAACTGTGCAGATGTTGCGTTTTGATTGTAGGACCAAATAACTTCTTTTTCTGTGGCTGTGTTGGGTTTGAGTGGCCACATTTTGATAGTGGGGGAGCTACGGGGTGTCTTCTCTGAGAAGCTGCTGGAAGCTTCCCCCATGTCTGGCAGGGAAAATGCCATGCAGCTCCAGCCTGACGCTGTCCAAGGCTGAACCAATCAGGAGTGACAGAAACACCTCTGTTATAACATATTTAAGAAGGGAAAAAAAGTTATTGGGCGGATGTAATTGTGGCCAGAGAAGAGCAGAGTGAGAATATGTGAGAGTAACAATTATGCAGACACCAAGGTTAGTGCAGAAGAAGGGGCAGGAGGTGCTCCAGGCACCAGAGCTGAGGCCCCTGCAGCCCGTGGTGCAGACCATGGTGAGGCAGCTCTGCCCCTGCAGCCCATGGAGGACAATGGGAGTGCAGAGACCCACCTGCAGCCCATGGAGGAGTTCCATGCTGGAGCAAGTGGATGCCCAAGAGAGGGCTGTGACCTGTGGGAAGCTTGTGTTGGAGCAGGGTCCTGGCAGGGACCTGTGGACCTGTGGAGAGAGGAGCCCACACTGGAGCAGGTTTCCTCGTACGCCTCGTGGCCCTTTGGGGGACCCCCGCTGAAGCAGCCTGTGCCTGAAGGACTGCACCCCATGGAAGAGTGACCCACGTTGGAGCAGTTCGTACTCCAGAGAGAGCAGATGGAGCAGAACTGTTGACTGTGGGACAAACTCACATGGAGAAATTCGTGGAGGACTGTCTCCCGTGGGAGGGACCCCATGCTAGAGCAGTGGAAGGACTCCTCTCCTTGAGCAGCGGCAGGAACAATGTGTGATGAACTGATTGTAATCCCCATTCCCCATCTCCCTGAGCTGCTGGGGGTGGAGTAGGTAGAGTTGGGAAGGGGTGGGGGAAGGTGTTTTTAAGATTTATTTTACTTCTCATTATCCTGCTCTGATTTTGTTAGTAATAAATTCAATTAATATCCCTAAGCTGAGTCTGTTCTGCCCATGATGGTAATCGGTGAGTGATCTCTCCCTGTCCTTATCTCAACCCACGAACCTTTCATTATATTTTCTCTCCCCTTTCCAGATGCAGAGAGGAGTAACAGAGTGGCTTTGATGGCTGCCTGGCATCCAGCCATGGTCAACCCACTAGAGTGGCAAATAAGACAACAAGCTCACGTTACATTGTGAGCTTGATTAAAAAGACTCATGTTTCACTTTCAGACTTTTAGATTTTCTGCCTTGAGTGGTTCTGTCCTGAAGTAGCCATGGATGGTGTGACTTTTGTTTCTTTCAGGATAAATTACAATTGGCTTTCAGTTAGGTTTCCTGATGTTAATATAAAGGCCCCAAATGATTCAAAATTTGCTGAAAAAAGCTGATTCATACTAAATATATGTCAAACCATCAGGTCTGTTTTTACTCGAAGTCCAGCAAGTCAGCTGTTGTATGGCCATTGGGATTTTTAATTTATGAGTGAAATGCCGTTTGGTCTGGTTTGCAAATATCTGTTTTAAGATTTTCTAGGCTCCCTAGTCATGAGGACTATTGGACAATAAATTAACTTAATCAACAAAGAAAGATGATTTTAGCTTGCAAACTTCTGGGCTTTTTTTCACCAGGAAAGAACCTTATTTTTCCTCTCTGAAGAAATTCAACGAAGATTATAGGATTACAGGATTCAGGATTTATACATGATTATGTAGGATACTGTATAATTTAAAGGGCCAAAGATATATGTTGAGGGCATGAATACAGTTACAAAAGTTTACTTACATTTCTTCTGACTCAAGATAAGTGATATGCTGAAAACATAATTGTTTATTTAGATATCTATGAAATTCCATTGACTCAACTAAGCAGTCAGGAATTTGTTTACAAAGACGAGGGACAATTATCCAAAACATGCAACTAGATTCTCGGGGGAAAGTGAGGGCACTTCTTAAATTTCCCAGTGTGTGACTGTTAGACTATTTGTATGACCATGTGCTGCAACTGTAAGCCTACGTAATATATATTTCATCTTTCTTATGACATACTGTAAAACACCCAAAATAGAGTTTGTGGCATTTAGCTTCATCCAAATAGTTGTAGCAAGTGGGTTATATGAACAAAGTTACATACAGTCAGACAATAACAGAGATGCAAACTAGATAATAATTTTTACATCACAGAAGAAGAAATAACTTTTTCAATGACCTGGCAGAAATGCAGTAAGAATACAATATTCAGTAACTAAATTTTGAGTGCAAGAGACACTTTTGAATTTGCATCCTGGTATTAACTGACAGAACAGAAACTGTAAAGCTGATGACGGATATTAACAAATGCTTCCTAAGAAGAAACGGATGAAGTACTTTCTTCACAATGCTATTCAGAGATACTGAGCAATTTCTGGAAAAATATTTATGTGTTTGATTACATATGCTGTGAATTGGTAACATAAATCCACTCTCTTTAAAAAATTGCATTTTATATATAACTGGTGTGGTTTGTTTCATCTGAATTTAGGGAGTGGATTCCATTTGAAATGAAGAAACCTAAATTTAGGTGTGTACACGTGTTTACATTTAAGTTATACATCTGAGCTTCAATTTTAGGCAGTGGAGGTCAAAACTTCCTTGACTTTCTTTCTTATCAGCATCTATAGTAGTTCGTCTTAACACAAAACCATTCCCCACTGAACTGCAGTTAAAGCTCAAATGGACCAAATCTCTATGGTCAGGGATATGAACCAAGTAGTGAGAGCAAGTCAACAGAGCCAGTGAAGAATAACATCTACTGAGCTGAGGTGTCTACTTCAGGACTAGGATGTAGATATTGTAAAAAAAAAAAAGAGTCCTTTTCCCAGGAGAACTTGAAGTTTTTAATTTTTGCAGAGGATATGGTTTGTTCTCTATGAAGCCTTGAGTCATACTGTTATTTAACCATGCGCCAGTGCTCAGTGTTTCCAATTGAGTGTCTCTATATGACTCTGCTCCATTGACTCATCTTCAGATAGAATAGCATTGATTTTTTACCTGAAATGCCATTTTATTTTTCCTGCACAGAGCTCTGGAAAGAACACAGATAAATGAAGAGGTTTTCTTAATATGCAACTCTTGGACTATTTTAAGAAGAACCTTGGATGTAGTTCTGTGAAGATTTCCTCCTTATAAATAATGCATAGGTAGTCTGCTATGTCATGGAACTCATTCATCCATTTAGCTGAAGTAATTGCTAAGAAGGAACATATATTTATAGGTTAAAATGGCACATCCATCAGCTCAGATAAAAGCAGATTTAAGGCTTACTAAGGGAAACTCAGCTTGTCATGGCAGCCAAATGACTCTTATTGTCTTATTGCAGTCAAATACGCTTGTATAGAACCAAAGTGTTTTAAATGCAAAAAATAGTCCAGTATGTTGTGTTTTGAGTAGCAATGAAGACATGACTATGCTGATGCAAACAGATCAGGAATTTCCTCCATTTTGAAAAAAAAAAGGATGTTATTATATCTTTTCTGCTGTTTTTTGAGTTTTCCTTCACTTCTTGTGAATGAGCAATCTCTGCAGATGTCATTCATGTTAAAAGGGAGCAGATGTAGGATTTATCTTTTGAGTTGAAGCAGGAATGAAAGATAATGGTACTGACAGCCTTGCAGGAAAATTGTGAAGGCCCTCAAAACATGCTTGTTTTGGCCAGGATTGAAATGAGCATTTATATGTTATGAGTCTCTTAATACGACTACCTGAGTTACCTCAGGGAGAATAAGGGTGAGAATGTATGCTATGACCAGGTCTTGGATATGAGCTGAGCCATGAGAAACAACATACAAAATGTAAAAATTTTGCCTGTGAAATAATCAATGTGTTGCTGAGTGCTGAGTGTGTCACTATATTGTTCAAATACCAAAAAGGTGTCACTGGCGAATAACAAAAAGATTTCAATAAAGAAGATATCCTGTCTCAGATATTACAAGAAGAAATCCAAGGTAAATCTATTGCACCCTGACTTCTGCCACAGGCAACCTTCAGGGAACGCTACTGTAGTCTGGGTAGACCCAGATCACACAGCCTGCTAAAAGGTATTGATGTCTTGGGAGGCATCTGAGGCAGCCCAGGCTAATTGTTTTGCACTCTGTGTGGTTTGGTTTGCAGAAGGTGCTCTCTAAGAATGGCTGCAGGTGTTAGATGATGAATCTATGGAAGCTGCTTTTGATGATCTTCAGTCCTTGTCTTTTTTTGGAGAAGGGAAACTTCGGTCTGATCCAGAGCACATAGATTTCTCTTGCAGAAAGGCCTTGGGCCTTGATGTCTGACTTTCTAGACCATTGATCCTTTTTTGACAAGTATCTCCAGTTATCACAGCTGTCAGGAATAGGACTTTCCCCGAGGCAAAATAAGGACCTTGTGTGGCTGTCATTCAGGGACGTGACAGATGTGCAAGGTGAGCAGCCATGAAGCTTAGAGATTTGGAATCAGACTTTCTAGACCACCAGTGCTGAATATAAACTGCAGACAAATATTCAGAAAACAGAAAGATTGCAGCCTCAGGATGAATTGGATCTTAACATAGTACTAGTACCTGGTTAATGTGAACTGTGCTAGAAGAATCAACCACAATCATCACAGAAACAAGAAAAGTTACTGGCCTAGGAACAGAGATGCTCCATTTTATGCAGTGACAGATAGTGGGATGTGGCTGAGTCTGTATGTCCTTGGTTGGAAGTACAAAGATGGAAGAGGTACATGTTGCATCTCTATAATTCTCTGTCTCAATATTGATGTGCACCATCAAGAGTGGAAGACAGAGGGTTTTTGTCTTCTAAGGAAATGAAAGACAAGGAGTGAACTCAAGCCATAAGCCTTGACTGTCTGCACTGATTAATTATTAACTTGTTGGCTATTTCTTGGACTGCTCCAACTTGCTCTTGGCAGAATGAAACAGCTCCAGAGGTAGCTTTCAGCAGTACAGAAATGAATCAGGCTGTGACACTTTGGCCCCAAGATCAAGCACGGTCCTTTTCCCCCTTTTATTTATTAGTATAACTGTAACCATGAAGACTATTTCTCAGAAAAATAGTGCTGAACAGAAGGTGCATATTTATAGGGAAAAGATATTGGATAAGGCCTTCAGTATTACATCAAGTGAAGAATTGAGGGTCAAACCATAAAAATGGAGACTTAGAAAGTTTATGCTGTATTTTTCTGCTGATGTCTAAAATTGAAGACTTCATTCACATGAGAGTATGCATTGTTACTTATTTATATACACTTAATATGTTGGAAAGCGTACACTGTTCACTTAATTGTGCCTCCATATGGACAGTAAGGTACAGTCACTGTATTATATAAAAAAATCTATTTTTCTCAAATAGACTTCAATATATAATTGCAACTGGTATAATACAAAATATAATTTTGTGATACAAAGACAAATTGATAGTGAAAGTAAATGTTAATGACTTTTGGAATAGGGCAATTTTATATAAATATTTGAAACAAGAGCATATGGATTTTGGATTAAATGAATTCTGGGTCTTTGTCCCACAAAAGGGATGAAATAGTAGAGCTCCTTGAGGAAGAACCTTTTTGTTTTCATTTTTTCTACTCTTTTTAAAAGAGAAACAACATTATACCATGTGGTCCAAAATTCTGCTTTATACAGCACAGAGCTTTCTCTCAGACATCAACCAGATTTTTAGTCAGAAAAGGCTGCATGTCAGTAGTGAAAAATAATCTATGTGTATGTGGGTGTTGCAGGCATAACATTATTAGTGCGTTGCCATTTTCCCACTGTAAAAAGGCACTGACTGACTTGTGGAAAAATAACTGTGATTCCTAGTCACCACATTTTTCAGTAGGTACACTCAAATACAAGATACAAAATTGTTTGAAGAAAGAGAAAATAACATGATTTCAACACTCTGCCTGAAGCTTTCTGAGCAGCATCTCAGAATAATTGACAAGCATGGCTTTTCTCCCACATTAGGTCTGCAATTGCATTCCATGCACCCCATTACATCTGGCAAGGTATCTGTCATTTTCACTGAAACTCTAAGTGGTCAGTATGTATGGGGGAAAAATTAGACAACAGAGGACTGATTCGAAGTCTACTCGTTTATCATCTCTACAGATCTGACATGGCAAAGAAGAGCAGAGCACTAAGCCCAAAACCTTTGCCTTCTTATACAATTTTTTAAAGAAAAAAGCATTTTCATGTGACCTGAATAAAGATTGATATAACCAAGAAGATGAAGGAAATCATACTTCAGGAGACACAGAAATACACAAAGGTCCGTCAAGGACAGACAGCTCTGTTATCTATGAAAATATAATACAATAAATTTTGCTGATATAATTTCTTTTCTGTTCCGCAATATTTAAAAAATTATTGGCTAAGGTTTCTCTTAGAGGAAAAGCTTTTGCATTGCAAATGGCATTGCAATCAATCTCTACAGCAAATATTTGTGAGGGGCAGGAGAAGCAGTCTGCTCTGCTATAAATGAGTAGTGAGATGAGCTCGTGCCAATATGTCACTGGACTCTGGCAGGGAATGCAGCTTCCCAACTAATAGGAAAACTATTAAAACCAAACAAGTAAAAAGGAAAATTATATACACTTGGGCCTTCAGTGAGTTTTCAGTGAAAATATTTTTTGTTAAGTAAGGGCTGAGTTTGCTGAAGCTAGCCTTTAATTCCCAAAATATTTGGGATCACTTGATCACTGCTGCCAGAACAAAGTCTCATCATGCAGGATGTAGTCTGCTTTTAAAATCCAAGAAACATCATGTAGGTTGAAAGTAAAAAGCATCTTGAAAGAAGCCCTTAAAAACCTGTAGCACTGGGGCCATAAAAAGCATCTAATTTGGGTTGGCAGGAAGAATATTAACCTCAGCCTCCTGCCTTTTGTCCCCACATTTTTCCCAGCTACAGCAGCTTCCTTCCATGGAATGGAAATTCACTGACTCAGATGGCAATCTGGCCAGCACCCAACTGACTACTGGGAGTTAAATGCAAGATAGAAACTCCTAATGCAGAGAATGTGGCAAACTGTTGACTTTAGAATTTCAGCAACAGTGCACTGATGAGTATTAAGGGAGAGCCATTAATTGTTGACTATTGGCTCAACAGCACCTGCTACTGAATTTGAAGGATCTTATTAACAGGGGTTCAGAGGTGGTGGTGATCTGTGTATACACACACACATTTAAAATGGAAAGGAGGAAGCTGGTATCATTAGCTCTGTTTATCTTTGTGTCAGAATCCAGACAAAACTCTATCAAACTAGGGTCTGGTGATCAGAGACTGTCCAATGTAATATTTCCCCTGAGTGGCTATTAAAGGAGGTTAAACGGAACATTTTGTGTATTCACCTCAAACACATTGCACTTCACTCTGACCTAGATACATCAAAATGTGTTTGGAGGCTAATATGGAGAATCACAGATGAGACACGAGTGGAAGTTACCAGGTGTACTCTGCAGGCTATTGCTTACAGAATTACTGCTGATTTTCAGCACTCTCTATTTTCCTTAAATCTCTTACAGCTATTAATTTGAAGTTTAATAAATGGTATCTTTCTTCCTTCCACTTCCTTTTGAAAAGTTTGAGCTTGTTTAACTGGATGAAGAATTCAAAGGCAGTCTGGTAAACTGTTGAACAAGGAAAAGCAATTTCTGGTGGTCTGGACAATCTTTCTTAATAGTCTAGACAGAAAAATTGGTGGAGATGTTTTTTCCCCCCCGCTTGTGGCATTCAACAACAGAGAACGCACGACTCACACAGTACCTTTGCTGACACCTGCATGCTGTTCTCTTGCATGTTCATGATGGCTTCAGAAATCTTGACATCAATAGGATCCATGACTGATTCAATGTTGAATGGTCCCTCTAATCTCTCCGCTACCAGAAGCATAGCATCTGTTAAAACACAAAGCAGCCATTCCCTTAAAGAAGGGATACCTTTGGGTGCCTCAGGCAGACCAGTGTTGCCAGCTGTAGCTGTGGATACTCAGCACTCCTGAGCAGGAGCCTGTGGGGATATGTGGCAGCAAGACCGTGAAGCCTGCAGGGCAGCCTCCCAGCTGCCAAAAATATCTTCTTCTACTGCTGCCACCACAAAGAGGAATAAAGACTGTGAAAGTTAGATTAATGTTAGTTGACATGGCATTATCGAGCTTGGGGTAAAATTATTTTACATAGCCTCACATCACTTGAAGCAACCAGTGCTCTGGAGTGTACTTATGTAATCTCCTTCCCAAGAAAAAACAGGATGATAGAAATGAATCCTTGGTGTATATTCTTAGAGTTTGTGTGAGATGATGAAAACTTTGATATGATATATCAGGGTGTTATAATTAAAGCAGCTGTTCTTTCTGACCTTAATGATCTCATTTTCTTGCAATATGAACAGCAGATGAATATTGGATTTCTGCCATAGTATATAGGTATAAACTATGTTTGCCTTGCTACATTTTCAAAACATGGTTGTAAGCTGCATGGAGAAACATACTCTTTGTATGTTTTGAATTAAAAAAAGTTTGCTTAATTTGTATTAGAGGCCCCCTCCAAAAGAATTTAAAAGTTTTCAGCATCTAATTAGCTTTAAACAGATGCCACTTGTAACTTTAACATGATAACAAAAATCTTTCTTTGTGGAGAAAACATGGAGCACCCTGTAGCCCCAACAGCAGTGTTTATTAGCTCCACACTTGGCTGAAAGTCACAGAACTTTGTTCCAACCTGCGTGGCCATCTTCTCCTTCTCCACAGAAGCACATGTGCATGGAGGTATGGGAAGAGGTGGCTGGTGTTTCAGCCAAGCAGTTGAGACACACACTTCCAGGCATAGCCTGATCTGAGGGCAACAATATGTTATGTGCTGTCAGTGCATGCCTAAAAATCTCACTGAAACTAGAATTACTTGGCATGTAGTATCTAAGCACTTTTGCAAAATTACATCTAATATTTCACAGTACTTCTAGGCTGAAAAGAGTGTAATGCCAGTTATTTGGTGTGGGGCATATAGCACTTGTTCCTAACGGTGAGAAGTGGTGAGATGATAGGAAATTGGTTTCTAACAGAGATGTTATTTTGCCTTCACATTGTTTTAAAATTCTTTTCAGTGGGAAATGGCGAAAACAGGAACTACCTCTGACAGAGGAAACAGTTTTCATACACACAGAGACACACATACATATACGCATGCACACACATATACTTACAGATTCCTTCAATAAGCCATTTTTCGACATGCAAAGAGAATACCTAAGTGTGGACTGCTGTAAAGGATTTTCTTCCTCACACATTGAGTGACTTGTATAAAACATTTATGCTTTAGCACTTAGTGAGCAATGTGTCTAAATCCTAGATGCCACAATCAGTACTAGCCATTGCTAAAGCACAGGTCTTGATGGCTGGATTTTGATCGTTAAATTCAGGGTTAGAATAAAGATTAGGGTAAATGCATAAAACAGTGACAAGGAGGGCGTTGGGGTTTTTTCTTTTGGTTTGGTTTGGGTTTTTTTTGGTAGGAGTAGACTACAGTTTAAGTTAAGGACAGGTGCCTCTTTGTAGAAGTCCACTTTAGTTTGGGAACTAGTAGGTTGGACAAGTCTAGCGCTAAGCTCTAGATCAGGGACTGTGTTGAAACAGCGTTCAGTAAATAGGTAGTTGCTGGAGACCTCTCATGAGAATGGGTAGTGGCTTGAGTCTACTTGCTGTTTCTTCTGATGGCATGGGACACTAGTTCTGAATTAAATCTTGAAGTGAAATCTCAGATATGTGGCAGAAAAGTGCATCATCCTTAACTGCACAAGAACCACAACTTTGATTGCAGGAACAACCTTTCCTCAAGCCAAGTGCCTTCAGCTTCAAAATTAATAGTTCTAGGAGATGCAAACTAAAAATCTCTTCCTGGCTTAGACAGTTTGTATCTTTAGAAAGATATCCCTTAGTTCACCAGCTTTTATTTTCTTAACTTTAAGCCTAGTCTTTACATATTTTTATATATATATATATAAGTCTTTGTACTGGAACTGGGCAGAGGCTGAGGAATGTGGGTAATTCCTGGATGCTAAAGGTGAGCTTTTTGTTATGTTGGGCTTCTTTCTTTGATGTAGTATGATATAGGTCCGATGGTGAGTTCAAGAACTTGGGTTCAAGTTAAAGTTAGAGTCCAGTATTATATTTCAATCACATGGGCTATAGCTTTATGTTATTGCTATATAGAAAGGAAAAGAAAGGAAAAGAAGAAAAGAAGAGAAAATGAAGAAAAGAAGAGAAAAGAAGAGAGCAAGTAAATCTCTGCTTGTCCATATTCATTAATTGCTGTCTCCTTCTCTGATTTGGAATAAGTCTGAACCACTCCAGGTAGCTATTCTCAACCCAAATCTGTGGGGAAGCTAGCCTGAAGCAGTGAGGCTGTGAGCCAACAGTAACACTTGCCATTAGAGCCTTGTGATCTCTTACTTAGTTGTATCTATAAGGATATGGCTAAGGAACCATGGGTTAAGGGAGAATATAATTTGAAATATTCACACCTTTACTGATGACAGGTACATCCTTATATCAGCAGTTTGTATTTTTATTTTGGGGTTAGTGGGATAGGACTAATGCTAAAGTAGAGGCCTATAGAGGGACATATTTGAAGAGGAAGAGTGTGAGAAATGGATTAAATGCTGTGACGAGAGATGCTTGAAGGGCTAAAGTAAAACTGGCTCTTCCTGAAACATTATTTCTGAGGCTGACACAAGTTGTGCTTCCAGTTAAGGCTCATTTTAGGGATCAGCTCAGACTAGAAGTCTTGGGCAATTGCACAGTTCAGATGAGTTCTTGCACAAATGGAAAACTAATGTTGTTTGAGGACTCATTTTGTCATCAGTTTCAGCAGCTGTGTGGGGCCATGGCTGATTTAGCAGTGACCGGGCTGCTGGGTTACTCCTGTTTCCTTCTGGTAGGAGTACTACAAGCTCAATTGAGCAAAAGAAGATGAGCAAGTGCCACTTCTGTGAATGCCAAAATGATTAGCTTAGTCTCTATCTGACTGAGCTCTTCTACCTTTTCTCTAACCATCATGTTGTTCATAATATTAAGTCAAACATAACCAGATGATACCTGACAGCCCTAGACTGAGAGAAGCCTGGAAGAACTTACTATAGTCTTATTATTGCAACTGTGCAGGCCCCTTGGGAACATAATCACTACTGTATTTAACTAGCTTCAGTCTACTAATGTTTTGAGTTAGCCCTCAGATTTAAATTAAGACTGAATATTTCATCCTTAACATTGATTTTTAGAAAGAAACACCCCACAGTGTTTAAGGTGAATTACTCCCTTGGAAAATATTTCCTCAGCTCATTAGGTTGAATCCTCTTGTTTGCCAAATCTAACCCTCAATCCAGTGCTAAACCTTATTATTCACCTGTACTGTTCTATATGAACACGTACAATATATACACACCAGCTATTCTGTGCAATTGAGTGAAAATGAAGTTGTTAGGTTGAATATAGTGAAAATCAGATGAAATGTAATGATCTGAGATTTATGACAGAACAGTCAAAATGTTGTAATGGTCCTTACCAGCTCTTCAAATCTATAATCATGTATCAACAAACACAATACACTTGTCCCAAGTCCTTTTTTTGTCTCCTAAAAATGTTGTAAATATTATTATATGAGAAGCTGGAAAGATTTCAAATGAAGTTAAGAAAATCTATATGCCTCAGCCTTGAAATATTAATTGTTTGTGCCATAAAAATCTGAAAACTGATTAATTGACTACCTGGGTTTTTTTATCTTGTTAATACACTTAGACTGTATTGTTTAATTACATGTTTTTTATTTTTACCTCATTTGCATTTTTCAAAATCTGCTTTATGAGGACATCTCTTCCCCTTCCACATATACTATAATACTCGGCAAAAAGCTGGCATCTAGTTGCCAGCTAGGGTGAGTGGATCAGGATCTCTGTTTAGGTAAGTAATTCTTGCATTTTGGTTTTTTTAGGGACTTGGAAACAATAAACATGACTAATTGCTCACTTGAGGACACAGACTTGCAAAATGGTCCTGAGAAAGTACAGAGCATATGGCACACCAGATTCACCACCAGTGCCACTGCTCTTGACCTCTCCTAGATGCATGTTGCTCAAAACAGGAGTGGGGACCTTCCTGATGCAGTAAAACACTCATGTCTACTGGAGTCCAAGGTTGTAGTCCCAGGGACTGCAGAATGTTTCTCCTGGCTGAGCACAGCAACTCTCTTTCACTGTTTTGCATTCCCTTGTCCATCAAGAAATACCATAGGTATTTGGCTTTCAGAAGGACATTATTTAATTTTAAGCAATAAGAAAGAGATCCTGCAGAAAGGACACTGATTTATGAGATATCTGATAAGTGAAAAAACCCCCCAAACTAGACTGAAATACAAAGTTCTTGTAAGAACAATCATTGCCTCCTTTTTCTTGTCACCCCTCTATCATCAAGAAAATGCAAGGAGGATCTGATAGGGAAGACTCAGGAGGCTGATAAGGAAATGCATTTTTTTGGGTCTCTGTCAGTTTGGCTGTGACATCAGTTTTTGCTTTTATGTACACTGTTGCTCTTCTACTTCAAAATTATCTGTGAGGTTCTAGCAGAGGCTGAGCTTTCCTCAGGGATGTCCAGAAAAAGATCTGTGGATGAAGTCTCTATAAATGTTGTTTTGTCAGGGAGACAAAGAATGGTAAAATACAAAATTGCATGTCCTTCACAAAATTTTAAGGTATATTTTGTTTGGGGAAAAAAAAAAAAGAGGAAGATCTTATCTTAAATTTCTGATTAGGAGTTTTCCATATTTTTCTAGTCTCCTATATGTGGTCTTACATTTACTTAAGAAGAATTGTGAAGTGCTTGTTCATGTACGTGCTGGTGAAAGAATGT